TGTCTGGCGCTCCACTCCTCTGTTTCCCTGTCCTCTCCTCTTCTCTCCTTCCCTCTCCCAATTGCTCACTCTCTCATCCTCTGGTCATCCTCTACTTTCATTCTTTCCTCCCTTCTTCTTGTATTCTCCTCCTGCAGTATTCATTCACCAGTCAGCTTTTGTCCCACAAACTGTGTTTTCCTTGCCATTTCATCTTCCCCCTTTTCCTCACTGTCATCAGTCTTTTATGAGAGATGAGTTGTCTTTGTGTGATTTGCAGGTGAGCACGTGTCAGCCAGTCGTCTTCACTGTGGTGAGTGCAGCAATGAGATTGCATTGCAGCAGACTGGATTGCTGAGCTATGAAGCGAGTTATGACGCACACTACCAGCTGCATATACACACCAAAGACACACACACAAGCACCAGCACTCACACAGACTGAGGCCTTCCACCCGATCTCACTCATTAGGTCTTAGAGGCCGTGGGGAGCACGGCCAAAGTTGGCACGAGCTGTTTGTGTGTGTGTGTGCATGTGTGGGGCAATGTGCCAAGGTTTATATTTGCAGTCCGTGGACTTGTCTCTCTAGTAGTCTACCATGTGAATCCAGCTGGCCGTTTACGACAATCTAGAGATGGAGGCTTTGGTTTTGGATTCAACACATTCTGTCTGTTTAACCATGATTCATCAGACGTGCCATCATCAAAGCTGCTATGTTGTAAGAGAGCAAATCTGTCAGTATGACCATATGTACAATATACATGCTGACTGAATATTGCTGGCTCCTGGACTGTGCGCCTTTGCCAAAGCCTTTCATGTTCAAATGTCTGATCTGTGTTTTGTATTCTGTTCATGACAACTCTACACATTACTGCTGAATTTGAATGCATTATGGCTGTCTTGCCTTGCCAGTTGTGTATAAATTGAAATAACTGTCACAGCTACAGTGTCATTACCTTTGATTTTGTACAGTTTAACTTGTCAAATTGTTACAATTAAATTAAAACTTATTTTCTGAGGTTGGCATTTGTTAAAAATCGCTTTCAACCTTCTCCTGTTTATACCCCTGTTCTCTCACTCCCCCTCCCCTCTCTCCCGATGCAAATTTACACCCCGCCCCTGTGACCTTTCGGTCTTCAGCTGACGCATCATTATGACCTCATTAAAAATGGACAGACAACCATTGCCAGAGGGGAAGTTCTCATAATATAGTCAGGTCTTTTAATTGCCTTGCTCCAGAAATTAGCTGCTACATATTGGTGGGTGGGTGCCCAATGTTCATTGCTTCCTTCCTGCTCGTTTACTCCTCTCCTCTGGGTGAGAAACATTCAATATTACACACAGAGCTTTGTGTGTGTGCATTCACATGATGAGGTGTGTGTTTAAGAGAACATGTAAAGAAAAGGCTCCACTCTGAGTTGGTTTACTGACCCTCTGGCCTCTTGTTCTCCCCTCTCTTTCTATCACACACACACACACACACACACACACACACACTTCCTTGCTGCCTCACTTGCTCTTCATCTCACTCTCTCTGTCTCCCAGGGCGACAAAGCTAATTTGAGGCAGATCTTGCCCTAAGGGGTAAACTACAGCATCTACACACACACACACACACACATATGCACACACATTCTACTTCACGTCCCCCACCCCACTCCCACTCCACCCTTACCACTTTATCTTCACCTTTCTCCCGTGAGCTAGCCCCTGACAACCCCAGTTAGCTATGATGCTAAATGATGTAGCCACTTACCATTATCATCTTTGCGATTCTTCTGCAACGATGCTTACACCCAGAAGGGCTGCGTGAAACACATTAGGCAATGTTCTTAAAGGTTGCGTGTGCAAAGGGTTGTTGAGAGTGAAAACATGTTCAACCAGGTAATACAATGTCCTTGGTTGTTCTGTACATTGGTCTTTATAAAGATGTGTGTTATTAGTCCAGTGTAAAATGTGGTTGAACATGATGTACCAAAATACTGAACAAACATTTTTGATATAAAGACATATCACCGTATTTGCTAAGAAAACCCAAATATTTTTAAGGATGGAATAATCTGCACAAGGTTTTGAAAATTTGTGATAATGGAAAGCCACTAATTAATAAATTATATAATTACCAGACTATACCTTCTTTATGGGTAATGTTTCAATTGAGTTAAGTCGTTTCCAGTGACACCAGTGCATTATTATGGTTTGAGTTCAGAGGGGTGGGGGGTCCCTTTTAGAATATTAATTCAAGGGGATGTTTAAGAAATTTAGTATATCACAATATTATAAACTAACATCTCCAACAGTATAAAGCAAAGGTGATGGGATACATTTAGCTCCTTTTGTGTTAGTTATGTAATTCAAATTTTACAGTTTAAAAACAGTGAAAATTTGAAAATATAAGAAAATGGATATATCAGTTTCTTCCGAATGACCCTTATTCATATGTAAAGCGGGACCCCATGTATTAAATTCACACCCAGCACAACACATGGGGTGGCTGTGGTCTGTCATGTTGATGTATATATATGTAGGCCTAGGGGTGTGTGTGTGTGTGTGCCGCACGCATGCATGATATATGTGCGAGGAGCAGACGAAGCAGCGGCAACAAAAGGCAGTTATAGTTGTGCTCTCTTACTGGCTTAGTGGTCAAACCACATCCTTAAGAGTTAAAATCAATAGCATGTCTACCTCCATGTTCACTCACTGCTAAACAACATCTAGGTAAACATTTGTAAAAAAGCATAGCTTTTAGGGAAATTATCACTAAAACATATTTTGTTGCAAATGACGGCTTGGTTTGGAGTTTATTGACGAGGGCGATGTGGTTTCTGTGTCCAGTAGGATGATGCCTGAGCTGTGTGAACTGTGACACTGTCAGAGCCGCCAATAATGCATACACTTACATGTGCGGTTGTGGCCACACACACACACACACACACACACACACACACACACACACACACACACACACACACCAGACAAAACAGAGATGAGACATAGGTTCTGCCTATGTCAGATCAACCGGGAGAAGAAATGCTACGATAGCAGCTTGTTGGGAGTGTGTGTGTGTGCGCAGAGAGCGAGAGAGAGAGAGAAAGAGAGAGAGGTATGCGTTTACAGTGAAGAGAAACTGGGCTGTTGGAGGCAGTGATATTTATGAATTTTGTTAAAGTGTGTGTTTAAGTGTCCAAAGCTTTGAAGTTTTCTAGTGTCATCTTCCCTCTCATAACATTTTGCTGTTTGCAAGACAGACAAAAAGAATAATTTGAAGACAAGGGTCAAGCTCCAGCTAAGTCAAAACTAAGCCATGATGTAAATTCCCAGCATCTCAATTTGATTTTAATTCCATTTTAGCCTTTTTACTACAACCAATATTAGTTTTAGTCACAATTTAAAATTTAGATTATTGAAAGTAAGTAAGTAAGTACAAAAAAGTTACATACATCATAAAATAATAAATTCATGCTATATATATTATTTATAATTTTATTCTAGCCATGTCAGGAAGTGTGACATCAGGCATGTGAAGTTGTCAGTCGATAAAATATTTTTATCAGCAGCTTGTCAGGTTAATAAAATGTGCATGTATTTTTTGGTTTATCTACCTCAGATCGTTACGGTGTCACACAGTTTGAGTGGGTGAAAAGCTGCAGGTACTGTGTGGGGAGAACATGGAGTGAAGAGGAGAATGGATGGACGAAAGACAACAGAAGCAACAGAACCAGTACAATAACACTGAGTGGGAGAATTGGAGGGAGAGATGAAGACAGGAATGGATGGAGGGAGGGCTGGCAGGCGTCGACAGAGGCACGCTCCCTGACCACTGTAAGGAAGGGGGCGTAGGCCAGGTCTCCCATCAATTACAACCTTGACCCTCCTCCTTTCTCCTTTCTCTCTCTCTCTCACACACTTTCTGCTTCATTCAACCATCCTCCCCCCTGCCTCTCATCCTCCCCTGGTCCCTCTCCTCTGCACCTATAAATCAATCTCTTCTTCTTGCTTCCCTCCCTGTAGCTTTATCCCACCTTCTCCCTCCCACTATGACTCTCTCTCTCTCTCTCTCTCTCTTTCTCTCGGCCCGCCTCTTCATCCCCGCTACACCTCTCCCTCCTTTTATCGTTGGAAGTGCAGTGGGAGTAGAAAGGTCAGAGGTGGGCAGACAAGAGGGAGAGAAAGGGGCAGAGGTATTGAGGGAGTGTGAAAATGAGAGAGTGAGTGTATTTAATCAAAGTGGTGTGGGAGCAGATAATATCTCGTTTTTTTTTTTTAACCTTTCTTCACCGCTCAACAGTGAGTGTTGTCCTTTAATATATGTGTTTTCCATATTTAGGTAAAGTAAAACAAGGAAGTAATTGGCGGCCTGTCCAGGGTGTACCCCGTCTGTTGCCCGATGTCAGCTGGGATTGGCTCCAGCCCCACCTGATCCTGTACGCAGGATAAGAGGTTGACGGTGGATGGATGGATGGAAAACAAGGAAGTAGTCGGTATCTGGAAATGGGTCTGGAAAACCACTGGGAAACTATTTTATGTAATTTCTGTATGCAAACATACATCATACATCAGTGTAAAGTGATGGTGAGATGAGAAGACAGACAGAAGAGTCAGAGAAACATAGTTTTGAACACATATGAGGATTAAAAAAGATGGAAATCAGAAGGCAACAAGAGGGACATGATGCAAATATAAATAAATTTCAATATACTGTATATAAAAGGAGTATTAACAATTTCTTAGAAGTGTTACATGTAGCATTGTTCAACATCAATAAATGATTTTCATACTTTGATGTATCTTGGTATATTTAACGTGCAACATCTTTGAACGGACGACTGACCTGACATTTACTTCACCATGTGTCGTGAAGTGAAACTGTAGCCATTTTTAACGTTTTGTTGTCTAAAAAACATTCTCTGGGAGCCATAAATTAATCTGGTATAACCAAATAAACATATTTTAATAGGCTTTAAAATGCTACATGTAGCACAGGTAACAGAGAAAGATAAGGAAGAGACCTTTTCCCTTACCCTCCCTCAGCATGCCCACAGTCAGACACTTCATGAAGCGGCAGGCCTGGCACGACTTGCGTCTCCTCTTGGTGATCTCACACTCGTTGGTGGCTGGACAGCTGTACTCAATGTTGCCTGTATGTAAACATGTTGGAGGAAGAGAGAAAGAAAGGTTCCATTTTAGATAGACACATCAACAGGCAGGCAGGCAGACAACTTTGTTAGACGCCGTTCCACAGCACATCCGGCTGCACGAAGACACAAGGGGGAAAAAATACACTACATGTTTTCATTTTGATTATTGAATGGACAGAGAGAAAAATGTAAAGTTGTAGATAGACGCAGACACACAATAAAAGGTAACCTTGATGAAAATGTACAAGCTACCTTGGTCTTCACCTTTGACTTTAAGATGCCCCACTGTTGGCATACTGGCCATATTCAGTACAGTGCAAGCGCTGAAACCAAATTCTTTTAAACTGACCAGCATAAGCACACCATGTGCTTTCGTACGACTGTTGATTTAATGTGTCAGTGGTCCATTGTTACCTATTAAGTTATCACTTTGTTAAAAACAACTAGCATAGAAAAGAGTGTAGCCTATATGTTTATGTATGCATGTGTGTTACATGGGTATATACAGCATGTGAATGTGTCATGGCTGGAGCAAGTTGAGGTTGCGTGACTAGCTGTAGTTCACTCACAGTAACACTGGTGCAGAGCTGAGGCTAAGACTATCAGCCGACTTAAGTCTATTAACTTCGCAACGCTGGCCAACAACAACAACACCTTAAGTGTTTGTGAAAAACGTGCTCTCTCTCTCTCTATACTACAATATATTTAATATTTAATAACATTTTTCTTTTGCTCCTCACTCTTTTACTATACTTTATCTTTCCATTTCTATATCTTCCTATTTATACATTGTCATGTCCTATGTCTTGGCTTTTTACTCTAAATGAGACCTATTTCTAACCATCTACTCTGCCTCCTGTTTTCCTCCCCTTTCATTGCACCCTGTTTCGCTATGTTGTTTTCTTATTTTCAGGCTCACTCTCAGTTCTGCTCATTTCCTCCACTTAGTAATTTGTTTCCAGCCAGTTCAAAGTGAAGCACAGTTATGGATTTGTTAGGACAGTTTGGACTGTTACAGAATCGCTCGAACAGCTTTATTTGTTCAGGAAGGTCTATTTATTTAGTATAAACTGTGTTGAGATGTGAACAAAAAACTCTTTGTTCCCTTCCTCCCCTGCCCACCTTACAACTACAGTAGCCAGACAAGCCAATGCATCTCCCACTGAAACAGAGTAAACAGTGATTGCTATTGACTGCTGCTGTGCAGAGGATGTTTTCTCATTACTGGGCTGATTAAGGGGGCTAGTTAGCTTGGAAGAGGCTAAATGCACGTCCACTGCTTAATGGGTAACAAGATGCTCATTAATCGGTCTTGTTAGTTAAAGTAAAGGCTACACATGCTAAATGCTGGGGGAAACCATACATTCTAATGGACACTACTAATGGGACTAGTTAGCGTACATGCTGATGATACAGGCAGAGCAGATTCAGTCAGCAATTAAGAGGGACACTTACCTAGCACTAAGGCTAAATGTGCTAATGACACAGATTCTGCGTGGGTTAATGGCTGGTCAGTAAAAGGCCTTGTTAGTGCAAAGCTAAACAGGCAAGCGCTGCTAAATGGATAACTGCAGTAAAGAGCCACTTATATGGCTGGTAGCCTTATGGCTAAATGTGTTAAACCCCCAGTGAGAAAAAAGGTTAATAGCTATACGTACTGAGTGCTACTGTGGAAGTGGGTGTCAATGGGCAATAATAATAATACATATTATTTGTTGATTAAAGTGACACCCAATGACACAATTTACATTACTTCAATTCGACAGAAATTACTACCTCAGCTGGAGGTGCAGTGGACATTAACACTAGCATATTTGTACTAGCATATTTGTATAAAAGGTACTTGGTATTACAGAATTCGGTAAGGGGGTTGGTACTGTAGGCTTACATCACAGACTTACATGAAGATGTGAAAGGACTATGAGACCGAGGCGTTATCTTGCTGTGTACTCTTTGCATGCTCAGACATAGACATAAACATCCTGCGTCAGTGGCGGTTTAGGGTAGGAATTAGAAGGGTTTACATCAGAATGGCATAGCTGTGTGTGTGTGTCTTTATGTGTCTTATTGTGCACTAGGTGGGCATGGAGCAGAGATGTTCTTGGAGGCTCCTATGTACAAGGTGTGTGTTTGTGCGTGTGTGTGTTGGTGTGAGTGAGGGGGATATCAAAATCCCCTGCAATTTCCTTTGAGATGTGTGTGCATGTCCACCTGCATGACAAGTGACCACCGTTGTACAGACTGTGTATTATGAATGTTAGTGTGTGTTTTCCTTGCCATACTCTTTGAGCTGTCTTTTTTTTAACTCCTCCTGACATAAGTTCAGCCTCTCCCTCTCATTCACTTCCTTTTCTTATTACCTTGGCTTCTGATTAGATGGTTTTAACTGGGGAGCAACAGAAAATATATAAGTAGAGGGCCAGAGAGGTGACAAAGTGACAAAGCCAGATTCGAATTCTCTCCTTGTGATTGACCAAAATCCAGCCTTACCATACTATAACAAAATATACAAACATGCAAATATGTATTTGTATTTTAAAATTGTTCAATTATTGAGGAATTTGTTTATTTTCTTTAGGGCAGTATGAACAGAACTATCACATAGATTGATCGTCCCACCTACCATTTCCACTGCCCTCATTCCTTTGCTCTAATTTACTATAGCCTTTTTCATCTTCTTCTTTTCTACTCTCATCTACTTTTCTTCTTCCCTCTTGCTGTCTTCCTCTTCCCATTTCATCGCCCTATCCCTCCCTCTCACACACTTTGCCCTCCTCCTCACTCCCCTTTATCCCTTTCTCTCAATAAGGGAGTGATAGATGCAGGTTGTCAGGTGTCGCTGGACTGACGCCACAGAAACAGCAGCTGCCAGAGCCACTTCCTCCATGCTGCGACACACACACACACACACACACACACACACACACACACAATTCCTTCCTACATCCATGTGCCCAATCCACCCTCCCCCTTCGCCCCTCTTTCTCTCATTCCTTGTTTCAACTTGTGGTTTATCCAAACCTGTGTACCTCCTCTCCTCTCCTCTCCTCTCCTCTCCTCTCCCTCTCCTCTCCCACCCCATGCTCTCCTCCCTGTCCAGCTGGAGGTGTTTTTTTGGTGATTACCTGCAGTTTTATTGGCTAATGGGTTGAAACATACCAATATGTCTGCCGCTGCCCATCTGAGGCTGGCCCTGCATTCCAGCCAAGATGCACACACTAACACACAATCGTGCATAAACACAGGCATATGTGCACAGACGTACACATAAACCTGCACTCATTTGCATGGATGAGCACAAGCCCAAAAGCCCACACTCAGACACACAGGCTAATGCACTTCCACACTATCTGTGGAAGAGTTTGGCTTGTGTGGTAGCCAAAGATAATGTCATGACCCATTTGGTAGAGTAGATCCAAGACTGCTCAGTCTGCATCCAAACAAACATTAACAGTTGTACTGTAGCACAAACATTAATTTTGTTCATAAAATGGCCTTGCATTGATGGATTTTCTTAATAAATTCTAGACGTGTCCATTCAAGCTTTGAAAAATAGCTTGTGTAAGTGTATTGTCAGTCGACTAGTAGCAATTTCTTAATAAACATCCAGGAAATTCTAAGCTAATTTTGACCAAGAATACAAAATAATGATTTGTATCTCTCTTGTGGCTCCAGTTTCAATGTGGCTTCCAATCCTATTGCTCACCAAACTGGTGGATTTCGTCGCAACCTTTCGTGACAACAGTCCTGTGACAGGCTTTGCCAAAGTCTTGACCCATAACCTCTGACTCCGGACTTCCTGATTTACATGTCAACTACAGGAGAAGGGAGGATTACAAATACAGTGGAACTGAGGGAGTGAGGGTGGGTGGGACAGAGCATTTTGCTTTAAATCTATTCAAGGTCACCGTTTACATGGCATCATCTATATGTTTGCTGGGTTCTTTTATTTAATCTGTAACTGTGTCTTCACCTACGTAACCTTTAACACACCCTCAAAATGAAATGAATGTGGAATTGGTCAACTTTTAGACACTACAGAGAAGACAGATAAATTAATGGTTAAACCTATACACAGAGTGATTACAAAGTAATCTGTGTGACTGTCTATTCATGTGTGTTGGTGTCCATGTGCTTCTATGAGTTAGTGTGTGTGTCTCTGCCTTTATCTCTGTATGTGTGTGCTCCAATCTCTTTTTCAGGGTTGCACAATGTCCTGATCTCATCCTATAATAAACACATACAGGTCATCTCTAGGTAGTGGTAACCATCTAGTGGATGTAAGACTTCCACCCCCTCACATCTCCCTGTCTCTCTCTCTCTCTCTCTGGGGCTTTACTGGGAAAGCTGCTTATCGGAGGAAAAAGAAAGCAGCGACAGATAGGTGGATGGATGGAAGGGCAGATAGATGAATCCTGTCTGATATGACTGACTGACTGAGTCGGTGGGTCGATGATGACTGGCTGGCTGACTGGTAGCTTGGCTATTGCAGTGGCACACTGACTGACAAGAAGGCTGTCCTGCTGACTGATGTGGCCTATTAGTTGAACAAATCATTAAAGATTGTTACTCAAACACAAAGTCTTCAACGGTTTATCACTTGCTGACCGACTAACAAGGTCAAAAGAACCACATTGGCCCTAACATAAAATTCAATTACTCTGATTTCCCATACCTAAAAATGCTTCATGGACAACAATAGATTTACCATACTAACGTGTATTGTCTGTGTAGCCAAAGCCTGATATAGTGTATTCCTCGTGTCACAGAACTCTACTGTTGTCCAAAAACTATGAAAAACAGCGAGCCACACCATTGCACTGGCTGGTCATTTGGTATTCTCAAAGCAGTGGCTAAAAATATTTATCATATGTATTGTAGAAATATTTGACCTGTTTTCAAAGATTGACATCTTCAGTAGGAATGAATGGACTTGGGGGAGAAGACCACTTAGAGAGAGTTGGGAAGTATTGAGAGACGGATTAATACATTGTTGGTTTTGGTCCTTTCATGGGAATCGTTTGCATTGACAAAAGTATAGAATATTGCGAGCATTATCCTTTGGTGTTGCTTTAATACAGAGGAAAACAGCTTCAGTTGTGCTTGCTTTGGAAAGAAATATGGAAACCATCATAAATCATCAATCATCAATCAAGTTGTGGATTCTGTACAAGTGCTATATTTGTGAAATTCCATGTATTATATATTGGGTGATTTTCCATGAATTGCATTAGTTATGTTATGTGAAACAAGGATGGTTGTGTTATCATTGAACTGGGTGGAATAATGAACAAATGGCTGGCTTACTAGTTTGCTTTATGGCTAACTGATTGTCTTTAAGACTAACCTGTTCTGTGCTTACAAGGGTAAATAAAGGACATAGTGATGGTGATCAAGCTGAGAGGTTGGATATGAATTGAATATCCACAAAACTGGAGAGGATAGCATAAATACCTGTGCACTTCCTGGACTACTTCTACCCCTAACAAGAGACGAGCAAAGGATTACTGAGCCTAATTCCTGGTACTCTTCTCATCATGTGGATTACTGCTCTATCCCTTCTCTCCTCTACCCCTTAACCTGAACTCCTGACCTGCAGACATAACCTCTGACCTGCCTCTGACAATATGTTATCTCCTAGACATCAGGCTTAAAGTTAACACATTTCCTGTAAAGCATAAGCAGCTAGATTTGGGAATGCAAACATCACCTGGTAATTACTCTTTGCTATTGATGAAGAAGAGGTCAAGGTTGAGGGTGAAATGAGGGCGTTTCTGGGAATTGGTGAGTATGCATGAATCTGACTGGATGCTTATGTGAGCGTGTGTATGTGCATGTATGACAGAAAGAGAAATAGTGAAGGAGAGAGAAAAAATAGACTGTGGTGGGGGTCCCAGTGGCTCACCATATAAAATTCTGGGTTCACATCTGGCCTGGGGCTTTTATCATATGTCCCGATTCTAGTCTAATGGCTCAGGTGTATGCGCATGTGTGGCAGACTACATTTTGTCTCTGCATTTCATTTGACAAAAAACATAGTTTATGTTTTAGGTGCTATGTGTGAAATATTTCTTGGAAAAGTTGTGCCTTTTTAAAGAACCTATATGAAACACACTATTCACCTTTAACATCTGACCTTGCATCCCCCACAGCCAACCCTGCAATGTGTTCTTTTGTTGTGATGTGTTTATGACCCTTCATGTACTTTCATAGCTTCAAAGATAAATGCTAATTTGGTAATAATTAAATATAAATAACTACAAAAAATGTCTCCCTTCTCATCAAGTCAATTTAACAGATCACAGCTTCTTGTAATGTTTACATTTTTTAAGAAATAATCTGAATAATAATAATCTAAAATAACCCAGACACCCACCAATTCAGAAAACAGAAAAACAGAGCCACTAAAACAGGACTAAAGCAAAACAGAAAGAGACAATTAGAGAAAGAATGAAAGCAAACCTGTTATGGGAAAGCAGACACAGCAAGAGACAGACATGTACATGGACAAACACAGAGACTAATTATAGACAGAAAGTCAAAATCGAAGCCAACCTTGGATGGTGCGTTTGAAGAAGGCCTTGCAGGCCTCACAGGATGCCACTCCATAGTGGTACCCTGATGCAATGTCCCCGCAGACCAGACACAGCCTCTTGGGCATCGAATTCAACATGTACTCGCACTTAATCTGTGAATCTTCCCCAATAGTTGATGAACAGTCCTCATAACGCTTTGAACCGGGGCCGCCAGCAGGTCCCAGGGGCCCGGCGTTGGAGCCGTAAAGGCTTGGGGAGTCTAAGCCGTTGGGGTGGCCGTTCATTGTGGACGAATAGGAACCTGAGGCGTCACTGGAGCCACCAGGGGAGTGATGGTTTAGACTGTCAGTCAGGGATGCAGGACTAGACGGCTCAGTCTTTATATAAGAGGACGGACAGTTGGACTCAAGGTGGCGCTCCTTACTGGACATTCTGCAGAGAAGCCTGAGGGAGGGAGACAAGGACAAATAGAAGAAGAGGAAGAAAGTATTACAAGAAAATGTAAAAAAAAATGATGGACACTTAAAAAGAGAGAAAACCAAGTGAGCAAAGTGTTAGAGGAAAGGCAGTAGAAGAAAAATAGATACAGTTAAGGCAATGTTGAATGAAAGAAATTCATTTCCAATTATAGCAATCACTTGTTCTGATGTTGTTATATTTCCTCACTGTCACTTTCTATGATGGATTTATATGTTTTCACTGAGCCTGGCAAGTTCTATAAATGACACATGTACACACACACACACACACACACACACACTACATCCATCACATTTGTTATTCTTTTCTTGAGAGAAATGATTGAGGGAGATCTGCGGAGGAAGAAAGACGGCCAAGGTAAAAAAACAAGAGCAAGAGACTTAAACACCAAAAATGTATAGATTGTGGTTCATTAGGGGAATCATGTATGAAACAGTAGCAGAGAAGCATCTATAGTACCACACAGTCACACAAACACATGCACATGCTCGGGGCAGACGGTCATCCGTCACTTTCCAGTCAATAGCAGCTTGTTCTACATGAAGGTAATCAGTAAGCAGCCTCTCTGCTGCTCAATCATCCCAAAGACAGCTTCACACATACATGATGCCCATATACACAGCCACACTGATACACGGCGGTCATATTCAAGCACACACTGACAGATACAGTTTAAGAAGTTAAGGAAAGCGTGTAATACAAAAAAATTCTCTCTCCACTAATCAGTGTTGAGGTTTTACTGTATTCTTCTCCTCATCTCTTGGTCTTCTTTGCTGTCTCTTCCTTCCTATATTCTGCTTCCGTTCCTTTCTCCCCTCACCAGTTTTTTCTTCTTCCTCTCCCTAAGGAGGCTGATTGGTGTCTTGTTAATGGCAGTTGTAATTAACAGCTATCTTCTCTCTGTCCATATCTCTCTATCCCTCCCTTTGTCTACCTTACTATCTATATGCCTGTCTCCCTATCACTTCCTATTCACTGCCATCTCTCTCTCTCTATCTCTTCTCAGTCTCTCTTTCTCTTCCTCTTTGCATTACCACTCTCTATTCCTCTAACCCTGCCCACCCTCCCTTCTCTCCTTTTCATTGTTAAAGGCAGAAAGCACAAAAGGGGTTTTTAATTAAGGCAGGATGCTGCTAAACGAGGGGCTTCTAAAGTCCAGTCAGCCTGTAAAAGATCCCTGTTCTACAGGGACCCATAAAACACAGACAGCGCCTTGACGGTGAATGAAGAACCGGCTGGGAGAGGGAATGGTGGGGGTGGGGGTGAGGATGGATATAGACAGGAAAACAGGTAGGCAGACAGACAGACAGCCATTGCAAGAGACAGACAGAATGGAGAAAAATAGAAAGAGTTGGTTGCAGTGACTGATGACTGACAGCAGCAACAATTTTTAGTTTTTTAATGTGCAGCAGAGCTTTAATGCGTTTGATGAGCAGCAGGATGATGCTGAGGCCGTCTTCCTTTAGCCAAACCCACACAGGTACTGTGAGGCCTTAACGCCCCTTTCCCAGAAATTCTGTTCTTTTTTGAGTCTATTTTCCCTTTCATAAAATGACATGACACAATATACAACAATTTGGCCTCGACCCCCCCCCCCCCCAGCCTTTCATCTTATATTTTATTCCCACCACCACTCCCATCCTCCCCTCCCTGCAGGTCCTTCTAATTCAGTGACTCCATTAATCGGGGCTTTGTGGTATTCACCAATGTCTATAAATCCATTTATCTGATGCAAAGGTAGGCCTTCAGTTTGGAATGAGGGGGACTGTGACAAAGGTTTGGACACAAATCGAAGAGGAAAGAAGGCAAAAAAGGACAGAGAGAGTCAGCAGGGGGATACAGAAGGAGAGACAGAAACACATACAAGTTGCTACAATAAGTAAGGAAGCAATAAATGTAAATGTGGGCAAGAGTGATGGAATGATGAGCAATCGCACAGGACTGTCTATGTTCTAGCAGGGGGAGAGAAAACATAGTGGTGACAGAAAAAGAGAGTAGACCCATTTAAGTAGATGATGTGATGGGGATGATTTAATCTCTCCTTTTTCACTCTTTATGCTCTTTTGTGCCCCCTCCCTTCGACCGTCAATCCCTCTGAGTACCATTAAGTGAAAGAGTTTAAGTGCCAAAAGATCTCAGGTGCTTTTTTCCTTCTCTCTCTCAAATTCTCATCTATCTCTCTTTCCTTCTCCCTTTCCATTCCTCTTCTTTGCCCCATTCCTCTCTCTCTCTCTCTCTCTCTTCTCCTATCATCTCTTTTTCCTCCTGCTCTCACATCTTTTCTATGTGCTCTCTCTCTCTCTCACCCTCACTGCTTATAAATGAAAAATAATGGCAGTCGAAGGGGGAGGAATAAAAAGAATAAAAAAGAAGACATGCGTGCAAAGTAGAGGAGAAGAGAAAAGAAGATTAAGAAATCACAGCCAGTGCGCTGTGCTGAGGTTGAATGCATTTATGTATGTATGTTATCAGTATAATTATGGAGCTATGTAACGACGGCTCAGTGCTGAAAGAGCAGTCTTATTGTGCCTGTCTGCTCTTCAGATGAGTGTGGAGAAAGAGGGAATGGTTAGGGTCTCTCTTTTTTTAGCAATTCTTTATGTTTTTCAGGTGTTTAAAGAGATTTATATAAAGAGGGAAGCTTGAGTGTATTTCTTTTTCTTTTTGTATTTTCACAAGAGGCTCAAAGATGTGAGCAGTGTGTTATGAGATGATTACAGTAAAACGCAAAGAAGAGCAGTAATCAGATTTTAGTATTAGCTGTTTTGCTTAATTCTGTTACAGAAAAGGGGTTTTAGATTTCATTTTCTTCCTGCTGTTCTGCCCATTCTTGATGTACTTCAGTGGAAAAGCAGTATATTGTGACATATGAGATGTCTGCTTTTCTGGAATGCACGGATTATGTATTACAAACGTTATGAAGCTTGTTTTTTCTTAAATTGTCATAAATAAAATTTATTTTACTAGATGTCATGAAGATTTATTTTTGTTAAATTGTTAGATGTTTTGTGTGTTTTCACAAATCACTTCACAAGTGATGATTAACAAGTACGAAGGCAACAAAACAAAAAGAAGGCTAACTGGTGGACAGTTCAAAATGTAATGTTTTTGGAGTTACAAAGGTTTTGTTTTTAGCTTTTTTAGAACAGTTAATTCATGTAGGTTTATTTATTAGGATTAGTGCCTATGATAAAATTGACCACACATGAAGTGATTGTGACACCAACTAGATATAAAACTCTTTCCCAAGCAGGGAAAGAGTTTACTGAGGGAGAACACACACACACACACACACACACACACACCCCAGAAAGATTACTACCTTTTCTTGTCTCCATTTCCAGCGTGACCCCTGTCATTTTCTCTTTCTCTTCGTTCCTATCTCTTTTTTTCCATTTCTCACTTTTTGAAGGCACAGTGACTCATGAAAGAGAAATATATAAATATATATATAGAAATATGTTGTTGCGTTGAGAGAGAGCAACATAAAGAATAAAATGACGTCTAAAAAAGAAGAGAAGAATTATTTTTCTGTGTGTTTTGAAGGAAGGTGGGCCACTTTAGTATGACAAGCTGTCATTAGAGCAGTGGGCTGATGCAGCGCCCTGACAACTGGCAGGGACAAACATACAATCATCGTATTAGACCAACTACTCTCTGCCTCACTCTGTGCCTCTGGGCTGTTCGCTGTGTGCTCCTTTAGTCTGTGTTTCTGTGTGCACCCGCACTCTTTTATTATATACAATCTCTGTACGACTGTCTCGCTAGATGGCGGCCATAAAGACAAACTGATCCTCAAACTACTCCAAACTGTTTTTGTCCCGCCCCAGGTTAGAGAAGAGAAGACATGAGAGGAGAAGAGGATGGAGCAGTGTAAGATGCTGCAAGTTGAACAGAGGTTTACATCTGACAGTCTGGGTGTCATTTTAACATTCACCTTCCACTAACAAATCAGAGGTTTAGATAACCTGTCTGATTGTCTCATGTTGCTTGCCCTGCTGGACTCGAGGTTGCCATGTCATTTGGTCTCAGCAATTAGATCGGTGAGTAAAAATAACAAATAAAAATATGGTCAAACAACCAAAATATGATTGAAAATATATATTTTGTATGTGGAGAATTAAAGTACATTCAAATGTGAAGCTAACATGTAAACATTAGGAACTTTTTGTTTTATAAAAAAAGTAAAACTGCTTTTTTAGGCATTTTTGTCTTTACTTTGACAGTTGCAGAGATATGCGGCAAAACTGGGAGAGACAGAGAGGGGATGACACGCAGCAAAAAGCTGTGGGCAGAAACTGAACACGTGTTGTTTCGGTATGGACCCAACACTAGTGGCACGCTCTCTAAAACTTCTTTGAAAATATATCTCACCCTCTCAAGGAGAAACAAAATGCATTTGACTACACTTTGAGAAACTTCGGTGCATGTAGGTAGAAGTATGAACTACCCTGACAACATTTTTAAAACCAAATTCATATAAATGAAAGTGATACAAATTAGTAAAGAAGGATTAGAGGAGAGAGGAAAAAGAGAGAGGATAGAGAAGTGGTAGCAATAGAGACAGAGAAGGAAGAAGTGCTGACAATGTAGCTACGGCGGGTTGGCTAATACCTTTCCATCACACCAAGCATTGTGCTCTCAATGCTGATAAGAACACACAGTCCAATAAGCAAAAAGAAAAAAGAGAGAGAGAGAGACAGAGAGTGAAAACCTTACACAATTCTATCTAGATGATACTGGTAATGCTTTGGGAAAGTGAAGGAATACAGAAAAGAAAATACATTGAATTAAAGAATGGTGAAAGGAGGGGAATATGAGCAAAAAAATACATTTACATTTCCATAGTCAAATGAATAGAACGATTTCATCAAAAGACTGAATTGCTTTTTCAGTCCTCACACTCCTCTGTTTATTTTACTTTCTTTGCTCTGTTTCTCTCTATTTTACTCCCCTTTCAACGC